GTTTGCAAGGAGGAAAAAAACCCACCCTGTCGCTCCCTGTCTTTTGCTCTTCTGTCTCCCTTCTTCCTCCCTGCAGGATATCTGCCAGCACTGAACACACCCCAGGTTTCAGCACCTTCCCTTGCCCTTTTCTTGCCCACCAGCACCAAAGGAGATGGCCTTTTAGAACTGCCTTTTGTTCCTCTGTGTGCAGCTTCTCTTCCAAGTTCTGGGGCCAGCTGACGTCAGGGCTCTCCATTTGGGCTCAACGGCTGCTATCTGCAGCTGATGCCTTCCAGAAGCGGCAGGAACATGGATGGGGGGGTGGGAGGGAGGAAGGCGCAGTGTTGGGATGCGGCGCGATGCTGCCCACCACCCCTCCCTGGCAGGCACCAATTGGTTTGCTGAAGAGTACCATGGTCATTTATGGCCTTCTGTGGGCAGGACCTGCCCCCTGGCACCCTGTCCGTCTGTCCAAGCAGCTGGCAGAGCTGCGCGTGGCACTGTGAGCTATTTTTAAGGAGCCTGGGCTGCATCCCAAGTATAGCGTGCTCTATTTCTGGTGCAAAATGATCTTCCTGGGTGGGGGATGCAGGGATTTTTTCATATGAAATGCGTGGGTTTGGGCACACAGTCAGGGAGGGAAACAACTGGACGCAACTGGAAGAGAAGGACAAAAAAAGCAAGGAGGGTTGGTGGCTATGGAGTTTTTACCCAGAGCTCGGTGCTCAGTGCCACCACTGGGTGCTCACTGCCAGTGCTTTGCTCATGGATGAGGAATTTGAAGGTGCTGGGTTTGGTTTACAGCTGGGGTGTATTGAGGATACCACAGGGCTTTGCATTTGTTTGAAACAGGCTGTTGGGTGAGCTTCAGATTCCAATACATTTAGCAGGGCTAAAAGGATGAACAAGGACGCTAAATGCAGAGCATAAGCTTGCTGGTTGCTTTCACCAATTTAGGACCCCTCCAGATTGACTGAATCTCAAGGGCAGCAGGACATTTTTTTTTTTTTTTGCTGGAGCTTAAAGAAATTCCAATAAAGGAATTAATCAGAAAGAGTTGTTTGTTTACTATACGCCTTGTAGTAGCATCAAGATGCCCTGAATAGTGCTGCAGGCTTAGTAAGGATGTTACGCTGGCAGGGTATGGGAGGGAATGGCTCTGTTCCTGCAACCAGGTGCTTTAGCAGATGGGTAGGATCATAACCCACAGCCTGCTCAGTGCAGGAACCTATTCTGCAGGTGAAAATCTCCATACATGGCCACAGATCAATGCCAGCACAACCTCTGCTCCTGCACTGGAAACTGGAGGTCTGAAGTTGTTCCTATTCTTACAGCACAGGTGGGCTGCTAAGTGCACAAAGGCTTGTGGGAAGAATGTAAGCTCCTTTCCTTAAGGCTTTCAGGAATTTGCCATTCTTAATTTTTCAGCTAACTTGGAAAGACTGATGTCCCTCAAACCCAATCCTGGCTGGAGGTGGCACAGCAGTGCTGTGACTGCAGCACTAACGCTCACCGAAGTTCTCCGCTCTGCTCTCACCTCTGCTCACCTGTGCACCAGAAAGACCTTTTCTAAACTCATAAATCCCACCTGGAAACGTCTGGTGTTTCCAAAGCATAGGGAAAGGCTGATGGCAGCTTTTCCTTTCAGGTGGTCTGGGGGAATGTTTACTTTTCTGAGGCTGGATGACATTTCCATTTTCTGGTTTCCAATCAGGGCTGATTTAATGCCGTCTACAAATAATCACTCGGCTCCTGCAGGTAGGGATGCACAATGCTTCCTTTCCACCTCCTGCCAAAGAGCAGAAGGAAGAGGGAATAATAACATTTAGAAAGAGAACGAGGTCTGTTTGTAGGTAGAGATGCAGATTCAGCAGGCCGGGCTGGAGCATATGTTTCCCATCACATTTTCTGGTTACCAATAGTAGCAGATGTAAAGACACAACCCAATATCTGTGGCCAAAACAGACTATTCTGATCATCAATCTAAGGCCCTCCCAACCTCGCATTGAAAGATGTGTCCCTTTCTGAAGGGCACTTCTGAAGAAAGATTTCAAAGGATGGAGATACAATTCTTGTAGAATTTTTGGACGGTGCTTTAGCAGACAATCAGAAATCATTGATTCTTAACGTGGTTTACTTACACCAGTTCACCTCCTGCTTTTCTAACTCAGTTTACTTTTCTCTGAAGTGAAGACTGAGATGCTAAGCCTTACTGCTGTCAGCTTTAATTAGGCAGATGACCAGCTGGTGACAGCACACATCCACCAGGCTTTTTCCATTGGGCTTTTTAAGAGGAGCTGGGGAGGACTGGCTTGCAGGGAGGTTGCTTTCTGTTGATGGTGGTTTTTTCTTGCACAGGGAGGTGAGGTTCTGGGTGGAGAGCTGTAAAGCAGTGCAGCAGAAAAAGAGGCTCAAATGAGAGAATAAGGAATGTTTGTGCAAGGCAAGGGAAATGCAGATGCTGGGGGCAATTAAACTACTGGGTTAGGAAGAGGGCAGAACTGGTACAGCAGAGAATGAATCTGCAATGTGAGAAATAGTCCTTGGATGCTAGAGACACTCCACAATGTGAATTCCAAATCCATCACAATGGATGCTGAGAGTGAGCTAAATTTCGAGATTATTGGGCAGAGCGTCAAGATGGGAGAAAGGGGAGAAATGTGAGGGGGGTGGTATGAATGAACCAAAGACATTTGTGGCAAGGAGAAGGAAAGAGGCAGAAAGGATGGGGCTGGGAGCAGTGTGATAGAGAGAACTTCCAGTGCTGCCAGGTTGGAGCAGGGACTCAGGGACAGGAGAAAATAAGGCTTTTTTCCTGTATTTTAAATATCCCCATTGTGCAGAAGGGAAAAAAACTTGCATCTAATATGTAAGGGTGAGTGCAGCTTACCTAAGTCAGGTTAGAAAGTGTCAGAACAAGGTGAGAGGTGTGGAATATGGGCTTTCACTCAGAGCTGACCATTTGGGTCATGCTGGGTCCTTCAGTGAGAGAGCTCTGCATTTCTGAGCAGCACTCTTGTTTTCAAGTTATTCTTCTGTTTTGGGAGGCTCACCAAAATCTCTGTTCCTCAATGTCAGAGCCCTGTGAAGGTTAGCAGTGCGCTGGTGTTCCAGCCCTGATGTTTCTCTCCCATGGGCAGATGCTGCATGTGGTCTCACAGCACTTGCAGCTTTCCAGACATTTATTCCTTATGGAAGTGGGAGGTGCAGAAATAAAGACTGAAGTTGAAGCTGAGTTCAGGCAAAATTGCAGAGCCATGTGCCATCTTATGTTGGTGATTTAAGAATTCTATTGACAGCACTGGAGAGTGTGAAATTCATCACTGTTTGCCTAAGCCTCTCCCTGCTGTTGCAGCCTTGGTTGCATTGTTGCTCTGCTTCCCCCTGGCACTTCTGAGGGACAGTTTAACCCCTGGGGTCCCATGGACCAATTCTCTCCTATTTTGTCCTCCCCACCATGACAAAAACAGGTGTAAGATATCACCATGTCAGAAATCTCTTCTTTTGTCTCCTTTTCACAGGGCAATAACTGTTCTGGAACTAGGAACTGGACAAAATGGACCAGTTCTGTGCCCTCCTCCTACTGTGTTTTTTAACTTTTTATTTTCCCATTCCATTTCAAGACAGTGCTGGGACTCGGAGAGACAGCAAAGCAACAAGACTTGGCTGTGCTGGAAGAGCAGTGGCTCGGTGGCTGCCTGCAGGAGCACAATGGCACAATGGCCGTGCCTGAGCTGCCACTTGTCACAGCAATGGGGCTGGGCCGTGGATGCAACGCGCTGTTTGCCCCGTTGCCTGGTAGCTGCTGTGATGTGTTTATCCTCATCCTGGGCCGCCTGAACGGCTGTTCCTTCTGCTGCAAAGTTCACGTGAGGTCCCACAGATCACAGGCTATAAGAAGTGATGGCCTGGCCAACTGTTCTGCTGGGGGCTGCGTATGCAGTAGGAGTGCAGAGACCATGCAAGGTGCAAAGGATACCTGGGTGGCTACAGATCCTGCTTGCCAGCTGAGCAGCCAGCTCCTCCTTTGTGGTGACTGTGCCGGCATCACCGCCTGCATGGGAGGTGTCCATCGCTGCTCTCCTTGTTGAGCTGTCCCTGCACACAGCTGATGTGTGGGGAGTGCGGTGCTCGCAGCGCTATGGCAGGGCAGGGAGCAGCACCTGGGGCTGGGCACAGAGCAAGGGAGGTCAAACCGGGCCAGTGACCACCTCACTGCTGTGGCCCCATCCCACCCAGCCCCTCTCCAAGAGCCCAAGGTGTCCAAGAGGAAGAAGAGATGGTTGGACAGGTGGTGAAGCTGCTCACCAAACTCCACATGCACCATGGGAGGTGCTGGCTGTGTCAGGAACCCCTCGGTGACCCTCAAGGGGATAAGTTTCACATCAGAGAGGGCTGTGTGAGACCACCAGCTCCCCCTGTGCCACTTGGAGCTGCCTGCATCCCACAGGTGCCCGGTGCAGCCGAGCTGGGCAGCTCCAACCTCCTGTCGTGCCCAGCTCAGAGGCACGGCCAGCCGGACCCACGCGTGCCCCACTCCCCCTGCGTCCCCTGGAGGGGGGCTGTTTGCGCAGGGCCCGGGGTGGAGAGCCTTCCTGCCGGCTGGGGGTGACGTTGGCTCTGCAGGAAGGAACGGCGGGTTCCTGAGGGAACCAGGGACATTCCTCCCATAGCTGCGCGGGGCCCCTTGCGTCCTGCAGGGCGCTCAAGCTATTATTGAAGCCCGTTGCTGTGGCACACTTCCAGGCCTGTATTTCTTTTCACATCGGAGGCTGGAAGCAGCTCCCTCCCCCGCCTCCCCCCGAAGAGTTTGTCCAGAGCCTTCTCGAATGGGCTGTACTTTTCCAGCGTGGGGCGGAGGAAGCCCTGCAGCTCCTAGGAAGGTTTGGGGAAAGAAGACGAGGAGATGTGTGGGGTTGGGCTGGAATTCAGGGTCCTTATGAGGAAAGGCACCTGCGTCCTTGTGCCCCACACCCCTCTTTCTATGCACTGGTGTTGGTTGAAATAATGTCCTGAGGTCACAGATCATAAGAAACATTTAATCAAAGTTTTGCTCCTTGTTGCGTTTTGTTCACTTCTGTGTTTGCAAACATTCTCCTTTTTGCAGCAGCTTTATTTCATTCCTTCTTTTGCCTTTGGAGGACACTAATAATTTTTTGGTCAACGGCTTTGGCTGCTGCAGTTAGGTTTCTGTGATGGGACCACATGCTCGTCCCCTCCACATCTGCCTCCTGGGGCCAGATTTCTTCTGCCGGCTCAAGTCAGCACTGGCAATCGTTGGGACGATTTCTGTATATGGACATTTCTGCCCTAGAGAGCCGCGATGCTGAGATGTCTCAGAGTTTTTCACTCACACAACAGACACCAGGTCCCTCTGGAAGGCAGCGCTTGAGGCTGAAACTGAAAGTTCGGAGAGAATGAGTCATCGGTGCCCTGGTAACGTTGGCGAAAACCAGCCTCAAACATGGCACAGCTCAAGGTTTTGCAATCCCTGCAGCCACCCCCTCACGCAGAGCAACCAGGGTGGGGGGTGGGGGAGAAGGATCTCTGTTAGAGAAGAGGGAAGGTGAGGTGCAGGGGAGACCCCCAAGTCTCTCAGGCACAAATGCGTTGGAGTGACGTGTCCACATCTCCGTGTTGCTCCCTCTCCCCCCACATCCCGAGGGTGTTCTAACACTGTAAGGCAATCTCTCTGCAGATTCCTGATCGGGGCGGTGGACGTCCACCACTCAGGCATTGTGTCTGAGGGTCTCCATGCAGCAGTTTCACCCTAGTGCCTGCTGTGCTGTGATAGCAAACAGCCCAAAAGCTTCAGCTGGTTTCTGTGTAGTGTTGGGCTTGGGGACAGGCTCACAGCCTCAGCTATAAGCAATGCCTCATCCCTACATTCACTGTCTTTGGGAAGGTTCTGAGCCCAGTTCTGTCTTACTCAGGCCAGAGCCTTCCCCGAGCAGTGTGGAGCTGTGCAGTGAAGCTGCCCCTGTGTTGTCCCTCCCGGCAGGGCCGCTTTAACTCCTTCCAGATTAGCAGGGCTCACGTCAGCGCCTGGAGTGGGAAGCAGCTGTGCTTAACCACCGCAAAACATAGCAACAGCAACAGCAGGGCCTGCGCCCGTGCCAGCAAAACCAGCACTGGGCGAACCCAAACCAGTTCTTCAGGCTTGCCTGGGCTTTGCAATGTGAAAGAGGCAAAGGGTGGGCCGGGCTGGGTGCTCTGTAGGCTCCCAGCCTGTCAGCAGAGGCCTGGGGCACTGCTGGGCCCTGGCAGGAGCCATGGCAATGCCTGCACGGTGCTGAGGGAGCTCCAGAGTGGGGATCCAAACCCTCACCTGGAGCAGAGGGTAGAGCTCTTGTGCCAGCGCCAACCCACTGATCCAGCTGTCCCATGGAGCTCCAGAGGCACTGTCCTGCCCTCTGCTCATCCAGCACAGGACAGACAGAAACCATGACCAGCCCCGGCCCACCTCCTAACAGTGATAGGCAGGTGGGTCGGCTGATGCAAGAGCTGAGATTAATGCTATCGTAACTTCCAGTGCTATTAGTAGTTAGGAAAACAGGCTGGCCTTTCAGAACCCACTTGCACAATTTGGCTCTTCTGACCCTTCTGGCCATATATTCTCCAGCTCCCTGAGTCCTGCAGGACACGCTGTTTCCTTTCACTGCACCCCAGCTGCTCGGCCATTTATAACCTCCACCTCAGCTGGCTGGGTCTCATATTTTGAAGCAGCACGACAGAGCCGGACTGCTTAGCTTTCCTTCTCTGCCTCCTCCCACATGCCTTGGTTGCAGAACCTCCAGCACTTCCCCTTCCCACATGGAATAAGCTCTCATGGCGCAGCAAAACGCAGCCCACAGTGCTGCTCTTACTTGCTGCTTGATCTTTGTTTTTGGACTTTACAGGCACCTGTTGCAAAGCAAGGCCCCTTCCTGCCATGTGCTCCCCCTGCCTGGGAGCAGGGCAAAGCTTGGGGCGAGACTTGTCCCTGTGGTGCCATTGCCCGTGTCCCCTGTGTCAGCAAGAAGCTCTGAACTGTGTGGTCTCAGAGCTGCTTGGTCCCAGGACACCAGGACACACGTGCTTAGACAACTCAAGGGTTTTATGGTTGGAGTCTAGAAGCAAATGCAGACTGCAGAAAGAGCTAAGGAGGGAAAAGCAGATTATGGCCGCAGTCAGAAGCCATGCTGACACATTAAGGGGATGATGCTGGGATACTGACAGGACACCTGGAGCCTGCTAACGAACCAAAAGCGAGTCAGGTAACTCTCTTCAGCTCAAATTTGGCAATCTGGGGAGGAAACCTCAGCTCTGATGGTGTGCATGTCCCCCAACAGTGTCACCACTGAGCAGCACTACTGAGTGACTACACCTGATGTGCATGGACCTGGTTTGCCAGCAAACATGTAGCCACTCTGTTAGACATTGCGTCAGCACAGTGACCACCGCAGAGACAAGGCAAGGCGCTGTGATCTCAAGCTCTTATTCAGACAGTAGTCACATCAATGTAGATCTTGACGTGCTTTGTTGAGGTGAGTCTCCATCAGCTTTACACAGAGGAAAGAGGTGACTGAGTCATGAGGTAACTTGTGAAAAATCATCCAGAAAGTCTGTGATGTTTGGGGGGGAGAGAGAGAAACGGGGCTCGTGTCTCCTGAGTCCATCTGCCAGCTCCAGGCAGCAGCTGCCACTGCTTTTATCAGCTTCCATGTGCTACAAAATGTTCCTCAGCACATTTTCCACTATTTTTTTTTCCATTCTAAAAGAGAGGCTACTAAGATCGAATGACTCACGCTGAGCCAAAGCAGAAGTTGCAGTCACATACCTTACACATCTGGACTCCCAGCCCTATGTCAAACTTCTGAAACTTCTTATGGATTGCTCTGAAGCCTGCAATGTTATTCCACGGTTTCATGGCATTAAGGGATGGATGAACAGTTCTAAACTGTTTGTCTTCAACACGCAATGAGGAAAATGCCATACCTTAGTTTTCAGTCTTGGAGAAAGACGTGTGAGAACCCCAGTGCTTGTAAATTTGGCTTGGGGTTTTTTATCTCCTACCATGGACTCTTGTACAGTGCTGCTGTTACTGCCAAACCACTGTTCCTATTCAAACCAAAGTGGTGGGTGGAAGCCAGCACACCCACAGAAGACATGATCCCTCCTTCAGAGAGGTCTGTCTCGTCCAGCTTTGCTGTCACATTAGCTGAGAGGGGCTTTTTTTAGTTTCCTTCTCACACAACACACTCTAAAATAGCTACCACAGAATGAATAAATAAATAGCTGCCAAGAGTTTAAATGTGGCTACCTTGCTCATGGTGTTTTTTAGAAGTAGCTTCTTTCCTACATAGACATCTTTTTCCATGCTGAATTTAAGGACACTCATCTGCAATTCCTGGATATTGTTAGGCCAGAACAATGTCACTGAGGGGGCTGTGGGCAGCTGGGGTCAGGGGGAGCAGGTGAATGGGCCCAGGGAGGAGCTTTCAATAAGGACATCCTGCACAGGGTGCATGGTAGTCCTCAGTGCAGCAATATTCCCTGTGCTATGGAACTCAAAAAGCATTTACTTCACAGTTCACATGTCCCAGGCCAAGAATATACATGTCCACCCTTGAAATATCTCTAGGGTGAAAAGCACCGTAGAAATATCATCCTGTCATGCTCAGCTTGATGGAACTTGGAAGTGATTGGGATCTGGTCTTGGGTATTGCTCTATGAGTAATAACCAATTTGTAATCAGCAGGATGTTCTTCTCCATCCCTGTATGTCTTTCTGCCATCTGTTGGATCTGAGGCACAAAATAGGATGACTCTGTACAGCTGGCGGAGGCTGGCTTTGTTGGTATCTGGGGGGCAAAAGCCTGGGACCAGCAGTGTGGAACTGCCAGTGACTTCATTCCATGTGGCCTGCAGCCACTTGGGGTTATTTTGGTCTTTTCTTGTTGTTTTTCCATTCTTTTATCAGATGACATTTAGGAGTGTGAAGATGCGTGACCTACCAGAGATGTTTGAAAAGTTTGCTATGGTCTCAGCGAGGATGTCTCCTTCCTTCCTGCCTTCTCCTCTCCTAGGGCAGACTGTTTGCAGTAGGGAAGGCTCGTCTGCCTGACAGTGTCTTTCACCAGGCGCTGTGGTTACTCAGAATGCTGCCCCAGACTGAAACCTTCCCCAGAGTTTCTGCAAAGCACTGTACCAACGTGAAGGTGTTTGGCCCTGGGGAGGGCTCTCCGGCTGGAAGGATGCCATCCTTCTGCTGGTGCTGGCTGCCCTGCCGTCAGTTCTGTGCATCCAGAACAGCAACGTCAACGCACAGAGGTGAACCCCGAGATATTCGCAGAGCTGTGGGCGAGCAGCAGATGTAACGAGCCCACTCCCATCAGCTAAGCTGCGAGAGAATCTGACTTGCCGCAGAGCGGACCGGGACCGCTGTCAGCCCCGACTCACCCCGTACATCCCAGGCTCAGTTCGTAAACTTTGCTGCGGGTTCGTAGGGACGAGCTTCCCTCTAGCGGAGATCCAGGCAGCTGCCGGCACAGCGCGGCGCTCAGCCCGGCTCGGCTCCCTGCCCGATCTGCAACGAGGAGGGTGATGGTGATGTAATGGAGCTACAACAATGCTTGCAGAGCGGTTTTAGTTTTCCGTTTGTGTTCTTAAAGATAAGTGTCTGTTTAATTCCCACAGCATCCTGAGCGCAGGATTTGTTGTTGTCGTTATTTTGTGCTTTCAGGGGGAGAAAATGCTGGAAAGTCTTTGCTTGGTGAAGTCATCTGAGGTTAGAACTCCAGAGATGCTGGAGGGAGGCTGATCTGTCACATCACTCAGCTGTTATTCATAGAAAGAACACTTTTTTGTCGTTCTGCAAGTGGCCCTTAACAGAGCTTCACACTGAAAAATGTAAAGTGACTTGATGTATACTCTATGCTCTTCAGCAGCATCTTACTGAGGGCATGGGGGAATAATGCAGAAAATCTGAGCACGCCCTAACACCACAGCACTGGGAGACATGGGGCTTTGTACCAGGTCTGCTGCTGAGAGACCTCACGGGAAGCATTGCTCCTCCTGTTCCCTGGGGATGGCGTACCTTTCTGTGGTTTGGGGATCAAGCTTTGCAGAGCGCTTTGAGGTCTGCTAACAAAATAGTTATGTCAGAAGCTAAGCATTCATATCATTATTGCTACAGCTTTCAGTGTTTCGGAATGGAAGATACACATTTTTTTTCCCCAGGATTATAGTGTAACACAACCAAACATTTCTCCTTGCAGGACAATGGGGCATGGAATCAAGATGACTTCTCCACAGCTACATGCCAGTTCAAGGACAGGCAATGCAGTGGCTCTGTGTGCAAACATACACAACTGCAGGGACTGGACAGAGAACATGGATGCACCCTGGGCGGTAGCTGCAGTGCTCTGCTTATGTAAGCTCTGCTCTCTTTTCTGTTCGTTTAGCGTAGTGTGTTATTCTTCCAGTGCTTCCAGAGCAAGAGCTAAAGGGAAGAAGAATGCAAAGGGCACATTTTGTTACTTGCTGAGGTAATTCACTGTCCTGCTGCTCAGGGAATCTGGCCTCACATAACCCACAGATCGCATCCTCCTGCTTCTGTAAGCAATGAGGACGGGGCCGGCCCTGACCCTGCTGGACCCACCCCTGCAGAAGTGGCTGAGTGTGTGAGTGAGCTCCAAAACCTCCTTGCTTCTTGTTGGGAAAGCTGTGGGCTGCACCATGCAGCTGGAATAGCTGGCCGACTCGTGGTGCAGATGCTGCATCCCTAGAGCTGAGGTGTGATTGCTTATGGGACCTAAAGCTTTCCTTTCTGAAGTCTCTTGGTTCCAGTCCAGTAATGCATGCTGAGGGCTAGCACTGCCTGACAGCTGCTCTGTGGTCTTGGTATGAAATGAGCTGGTGAACTTCAGCTTGGATCCCAATGGGGACAGATGTTCATGTTTTAAGAAACCATCACTGTGGTCTTTACTAGCCAGACTGCTTCTTGGCAACAGTAAGAAGGTCAGAGCTTGAATAAGCACATAAGAATTGCAAAAAAAGGTCAGGATCAATGCATTTTGGCTCCAAATCTGCACGGGAAATCTGCTCTTTGTGATATTGTAACTGTGGAAATACATTATGAAAATTTACCCTAATCAGGCCTTCTTCCAAAGCACAACAGCAACACAGGAACTGCGCAGAACGGCACAAGGGCTGATTTAGGCAGTGTGATGCTGGACAGCCCTTTGTCTGAGCCACAACATCACTTTCCAGACTGCAGCTCTGCCAGGACCAGCAAGTGTGGCTGAACCTTCTGGCAACCCTATGTCCCAGCAACAGTTCTGTCAGCAATGGAGCAAAGTGAAGATGGGTGTTGGTTGCATCCTCCCCTGCTGGTTTCTGTTTCTGT